GTACTGATTCAAACCTTAATTTACCCTTTATGCGTACACTGCTAAGAATAAACGTGAAATATTCTAGCAGTGGTTGAACATCAACTTGTGCATCAAAATTCGTGACCCAATTTTATAAAGGTTTCAAGTTATGCAACCTACAAGACGTTGAGGCTTAGACGTCTGTTTCAATACCTGTTCTGTAAACGAAATATCGTAGGAGTACCTAAGTTCTAATTCTAATACTGTATGTAACTTAGATAACACCTCACTGTTTATAGTAAGATCTAAGTTGAGAGATGTATTACCAAAGCATATCCATTCAAATTTAGCTCTGTTAGGCTTTAGCTGTCATTTTGAATACCACTGCGCAACCTTGTTAAGCTCCATGCTGATGCAATTTCGCATATTGTTTAGCTCATGAGGAGAAAATGAATACAGTACTTCAAGATCATCTGCATACAGAAGGAGCTTATCCACACAAAAGAATTCACAAATATCGTTGATAAACACCAAAAAGAGCAAAGAGCCGAAGACACTAACTTTTATAACACCGCTTCTGACAGGGACAGCGTTAGACAATGAATATTTAATGTCGGTGGCTGAGGAAGGAATCAAGCCAAGCAGGTAGAGGGTTTTGAGCTTATCTATACGAAGTTGATGGCTAACCATGTCGAAGGCTTTAGAAATGTCAACTCAAGCATAATTAAAAAAATTAAACTAAAAAATTAGACTAAACATCCTTGGTTATTTAGATGGTAGTTGGAGGTAGTCAACAGGAAACCCTGGACCCGGGTTTCGTGCTACTTGGCACTTGTCAGCAAGGTGTACCTGTAATCTTGAGGGAACTGGTGCTCCCTGGCGGAATCGATCTCGTGTCACCCAGATTCACAGTCAGAGACGTTACCACTGAGCTATCCGAGCCGTGACTAACCTCCTGTAGGACTGAGATGTAATCACAATCGATTGATCACTGGGTGGTGATCAATGTCATGCTTGTCTAGTCCTTATTAGTGCAGATCGAATGCTATCGATCATGTTGCAATGTGGCCACCAGTCTAGGTGACTCGAAACAATATCAATGCAATCTTTGAATTTGAAACGTTGATATTACTAATTATCTGAAAAGTACAAATTGATAGTGTGATGACATGTGTACTAGTTTTGATAAGAATAATAAAGGCTTAAATCAATGTTAAATAATCGGAAATAGGTCAATGGTTAGAAAAGTATAGACAGTGAGATAACATTTATAAAAATTATAAGATCACGTAATAAGAAGTGTTCAGATAATTAGACCGTGAAGAGTATATTTGATTGGTTTAATCATTTCGTATATGCATATAAATACTACTTTATATTAGAGTAAGGCCTGATGAGGATCTAATCGAAAACAATATTGTTCGCTTATATATATTGTTCTAAATTAAAGAAGCGGAAATGGCATGTCATACAAGATCGAGTTTTTAAAAGTCCATGTTGAGAATCATTGATAAATTTTTCAGCGAGCAAGTAGTTGGAGAGTTCGTCGCTAACAACTTTTTTCATAACCCTGGAGATAACTGGAGTAATATTTATGGGCCAATCATTGTTCATGTTAGTCTTATCTCCAGATTTGTAACGTGGTATGATATACGCAGTTTCCCAACGATAAGGGTAAGAGCCTGATTCCATAGAAAGATTAAACAGCTTTAGAAGTGTAATATTTGGATCACCATATTTATAGAGAAAGGATGAAATCCCGTCTACTCCATGACCACTCGAAACCTTAAGGGTATTCAAAGCCTTACTAATTTTCAAGCTTGTGAAAGAGATAGATTTTATTGAGTTACTAGTCACGCACATGACTCTTGAAACAGTGCAATTAAAAATTCTTTACTATTCGCAAAAATACTACTGAAAAGGTCTGCTTTAGTTTTAGAGTCGTATACAAAATGCTACTATGCAGGTATATCCAGCTAACGAGTGCTAAATAGGACGAGAAAAGCGTTCAGGTTTTCACTGCTAACCACGTTCCCCATTTCCTATATAAACATAGTGAGTAAAATATGAGACCTATTAAAATTACTTCGGATTGATGAATGAAAGAAAAACTGCGATGAAAATATTTGGACTTTAATAGAAATTGAGCTTAGGAACTTCGGGTCTATAAATTTTCATTTGTCTATCTTTTCAATACAACTTATTTTAAAGCCTATTGGTCATTTTTGAATCATCACTACTTTTAGCTTCAAACCAATGAATTTAGATATTCTTCTATTCATCTGATGAGGTTTATTTTAATTTGAGATATAAACCAAGAGGAAAGGAAACTAAAGAGTGAATTCGACTAATCATAATGTAATGTAGCGTTTCTGGCTTGATCTGAAGACTATAAATTGAAGGGAGTAGAAAATATTTATCAATATGATATTCAGTTGAACACTACTTCAGTAACGTTTAATTTAATATGAAGATGTATGTCTGCATCTGTGTATATGTCCATAAAATGCGGGACTTGTAGTTATAAAAGTCAAGGAGAAAATCTAAATTCTATGTATTTGGGGAAAAAACATTATTGACTTAAAGTAATCTATGTTATTTACTTGACCTGATCATTAAAATTACAGATGAAGTACTGATAGGCAGAAGCACTTTAAGGTAAGTCAACATTTTACATAGACTAGTTGTATAGATCTTGAACTTAAAAAAAATTTGTCCTACTAAAATAAAACTAGCTATTAAAAAAATGAGCAAAATATTAACGGAATATTTTAAAACATCAGATAGGTTTCAGATGTTCTCGTCTACCTATAAAAAGGTGTCTAGGAATTCTCTGTTGTTCAAAAGTACTTTACACTGTTTTTGATTGGAATCTCTTATTTTTAAGGTTTTTGTCATAAGCTCATAACTCAAGCACCTGGTGAACGATTTAATCGATTCTTTTTTCAAGGGTCGTTCCTTATATGTATCTGATGAGGTCTACATCTACTTGATAAAGTAGCTTGAAGTACTCTAGATTATATTATCAAATAACATTTATTATAAAGCTAGAGTTTAATCTGTTGCAAAATTTTTGGATCCATACTTCTTGGTCTCGAAATCACATTTCGAACGTTTATTATCATTCCAGTGAAATTGATTTAGGCTAAATGTTTGCTATATTGTTATATATTATATATTATATTTGACTGAATATATCAATAATTATTTCGGTTACAAATTGTTGATTTATTTCTTTTTAAATATAATCTAAAGTTACACAGTGTATTTGGATAAAATTAGAATAAGTGTTTAACAACGAAATTAGTCATGATATCATATTGTCAGATAAAAATAATGTTAACAAAAAGGGTTTAGCTATAAGGTTTAGGATTTCCATATGATTTTCACAAAGGAGAAAATGCTAGGAAATGTTTCTTAGTTCTGAAAGTTTGCAGAATGCTTTAAAGTAGATAGGTGACCGAAACATCTGGTTCATCGCATTATAAAATATGGTGAAGTCATTTTGTGCCAAAATTCTTTAATGTTTACGATACGAAATGATTTTCATTGTTCAGCTTTCAGAAAATCTTTTAAAAGTTTTTGACTTTCATTAATTTAGGTAAGAATGTATTCTCACCCCCTTTGTAACTGTGATACCTGTAGCAGCTCTGTAGAAATTTGTACGATAAAATGCAATGGTATAAATTGTGATTCGTTTTTATTATGTGACTAGATTTCATAAGAATATGTTAAATAATTAAATAGGATCAGTAAGCTAAAATAAATATTTATAAAGTGATTTTTAAGCTTTGAAACAAGTTTACTAGTGTTAAAATCAGGACCACGATAGCTAAATGAATGTAAAAGGACAGTATCGTGAGTACAAAATGATTTGCTGATATATAAATTGGAGTTGGTGTACCTCAATGAGTTGTTCTTTTTCATTTCCTTTTTCTCATTTTCTTGAATGACCTACTAAGTTCGGTTAAAAATACTTTGAGTATGCAAATGATTTTATTCTATGTATGCATGTTTCTTTCTCTTTTAATTCTTTTGAAATGAAAGAATTTTTAGAATATATTGGACTATAGTCTGTTTTTAGTAAAATCATGAACGGATCTAAGTTAGACCACCATTGAAAGTCCATAAGGATTGGATAACATTTTTGTCCTAGTATGGGATAAGTCGACAGTGTGCATCCCCCGCCACACTACGATAGGTAATCCAATCCGAAACTTGTCTCGAACACCAACGCCTAACCTCTAAACTACTGAGCCAGGATTTAACGGTGTTAGTGCCCACCATTAGTCAATGCACAATTTTGTGTAACCAACTTTCATTGTCTTCACTGGATAACTGCCTGACACACGACAAGGATTAACTTCACTGTTCATTGCTTCTCACCAAAACTCCGGAAATTCGTTTTTGCAGCTAGTCACCAGAGAGCACATGATATTTTTGTGACTCCTAAGAGGTACTTGTTGAAATATTGTACGCAGAGAATTTTATATTGTACTGAAAATATATTACTGAATAAGACGGTGATAATTATTGTATCATTATCATCATTATTTTAAATTATTTTAAGTTGTTATCTCTTATAATTACCATTCGTTATTAAATATAGACAATTTTAAAAGCTGTCTATATTTTTAAACTGACAAGAATAACCAATTCTACTGTAACGGTTTTCAGTATGTAGGTTATGGAAATTGATGAATTTTATCGAGATCACGAATCAATGTAAATTAGACAATTACTGAAAACCAGAAAGCACAAAACAGCTGTTTCGTCCTAGTATGGGACTCTTAAGCAGAGCAAACTGATTATGAAGATTAAATTAAGTTTAAATTTAAATTTAACAAACGTTATGTACCTAATTGACTATCATTTCGCTAAACTGACTCACCACCATCTAATTAGTATTCACTTTCTACTCGCTTATAAAACTTATGTATTAGTGTATAGCCTTGACGTAGAACTAATTGAAAAGAAATATTTCTTCTCTCAACTAGCCTTTTTGATATCTCAATGGGAATGTGATTAACTGAAATCATCTGATCTGTTTTATTCCTGTAGATATATACTTATCAAGTAAGAATTTTAATATTCATGTATAATTCGTCCGTGTTGAATATATTGTAATTCAGCTTTCGGAATCATTAAATAATATGATTTATTGTCCCGTGTTAATTATTCAGTCAGTTAATAATTACAATCATTATATTATGTTGAAAATTTAGTTAAATCATTCCGACGGAATTGTACTGTCTTTGACTTAAAAACTAATAATTCGTTCTATTGACTTCACTATCTTACAATTATGTCAGTGTTCTTTTTTTAATAGTATAGAGATGAAATCGTATGCCTTGACAAAAGTCAATTATTATTCTGAACCACCATATTAAAATCTGTTTACATAAAGTTGAACAAAATTCATCACATCTGAATGATCGCAATAAATAAATTCATTTGATAAACATGAACAAAATCTTAAACAGTGAAAACAGATAACGGTGGAATTATAACCAAGTAAAAATCAGTATGTCGAATTAATGAATTCATTATCTTACTTATTGGATCTAAACATTTCATTCGGTACGAGCACAAAAGTATAAATGAGATTAAGTTGGCACAGATAATCAATGACATCAAAAAACTTATTTTCATCAGAAGTAAAATTATTTTTCAATTTGAAAAAAACATTTCAACCAATTATAAATGTGTTCTCTTCTATTCAATCAAAACATCAGACTTGTTCAAATAATTCATGGATGAAATTTACAAAATATTCAGATGTTATTGGTCATATACACTTCAGTCTTGAATATATTTACACTTTAAAAAAATTGAATGTTATAATCAGTCATTTGACTGGTGTCAGTAATCTTGGAAAAATTAATAAGTTATTTCCAAGTCAAATCCAAACAATATTCATTATTGTTTTACAATTAAGGCAAAGAATAGACTTTTCATTGAATAAAAAAGAATTTAATATAGAAAATGATGATTTGCATAGAAGTTATTTTACAACACCAGTTCAGACATTTGCAAATCCATGTTTTGACCAATTATTTGTTTTTGATATTCCCTTTAATGAATTAAAACACAGTGAATTAGTATTTTCAGTATTATATTCAGCATCAAATGATCAAAACATTGTATACAGTGACATTGAAGAACCATATGATATTAGTAAAACATTCAATCTATTATCTTCTCTTTGCTGTCATCAGTCTAGTCAAAAATCATCACAATCAGGAAAAATTGCAGATGGGATGCTATGTATTGGTGAAGCAATTTATAGGATAGATCATGAAAAATTAATTAATTACCCAAAAGAGTTAATACATATATGGCAAGAATTTTATCCACCATTAAATTCCTCTGATAAATCTATCATTGAAAAGAAACCAAATTCGCTAAGAAACAATGGAAAATTTAACAGAGAAGCTAGTAAAGAGGATTATGTATGTATGAAAATTTGTTTATCTCTAGATTTAGTGTTTGCTGATGCAGGACTAAGTTGAATAGAAACTATGAGTGACAAAACTATAACATAATAAAGGTCCATAAAGATATTGACCGTATTAGTGACCTGTTTTGGTAGGTGTAAACAACCTGGCTAGGGTTCACATTACTGTTATAATCGGGAGTTGGAGACGGGTGACATGGTTCAGAATCGGTCCCATTTGTGAACATCTATTCAGTCTTTGTCTTTCTGTAGATCCTGAATTTCACAAGTATCTTACACATCTTGGCTCAATGACTTCAGTCTTTCTTCTTGAGTCAGATCGTTCGTTCCAATTCTTTTCTGCTACTATTAATACTGTTACAAGTTGTAGATGTATAGTAACTTACCTTGTTAACGTAGCGTGGTAAGTGGGATCGATGGATATATATGTCCGGTTCTACGATGAGTCTCCAGACAGACATGAGAAGAATGAACAACAATTGGATGGAACTTGGAAAGAAGGCCCAGGACAGAGTGGGTTGGAGAATGCTGGTCGACGGCCTGTACTCCATTGGGAGTAACAGGCCTAAGTAAAAGTAAAAACAGTTCTACGATGAGTATTACTAACTGATTGACTGAATTATTGTAATACAAAACTGAAAAATTGGTTATTTTAAAACTGCAAAGTTTAACGAGTGGAAATGTGATAAATTAATTTGATATTTTCAATGGTTGCTTAAAGTAATAATATTAACCTTTACCGTTCTTTCTACTATCTAACGATGCTTCAACAAATACTTTTTATAAGTTAATCCCTCTTAAGTATAGTTACATTGCTTACTTACTTGAGCTTGCTACACTTTATGAAGCATAAGTCACCAAACAATGACCTCATACGAATAAACTTTGGCTATGCTATGGGGAAATTTATAGTTCAAAAATATGATCAGGTTATTAAATTAGGCAAAAATGTTTAATTGATGATACCGTAATTATTCACCGAATTGATTCTCAAACAAGTTCTTAATAGAATTTGAACGCTTATTGATCTGATTCGATTTCAGAAGCTCAGTAAAATTCTTGACCCTTGCATAGCTTATGATTTAGTACTGAACCTTTGATTTGATTATTCAATTATGTTCAATCGAATTAATCAAACAACAATTACATCTCTTTGAGTTATACATTTTCAGCATCATTTGATGTTTGTGAAGCTTTAGAATGAAATAACAGCATTTCATAAACAATCCAAATTTCATAAAGGCATAGTGTTTAGAAATTTGTAAAGTAGTCAGTGACTATTTTATTCCGAAAATAGAAACAAAGTTATAGAACTTCACTATCTAATTTTTTTAAAAATGTCATTGGATAGAGATTATATGCTTGTAAATTGTAACTTCATACTTTAATCATTTTGAATATGAAAAATAACTTTGAAAATCTTCATTGAGTAAGAAATAGGGACTAAAGTTACTTTTTAAGTTGTTGGTTTTATGAATATTCTATGGAATTGTTGATAGATTGAATTTATGACACCAGAAAAGATGGTTAATTAACAGTGTTCATCAAAATGTAAGAGATTCGGCAAAAGTTTTCAAATTTTCCTATAGCACTATATTCGTAGTCTTATTCTTTATTCACTCAGTTCTCCAGAAGTATTAACATAAACTGATGACTTTAGTAGATTAAATGTTGGTTAGAGTTTGTCTCAGTGAAGAAAGAGGTGAGTGTAACTAGCCTGATGTTATATTCATCACAGTTATCCAAAGTTGTGAAATCATTCTATTTTAACAGTCGTCTAATTTTGTCGATACAATTACGAAATACGTTAATTTTGAAAATAATTGAAATATGATCGTCGTATTTCGCTTAAGACATAAACGCTTCAATTTCTCCAAAATATTCGTCACGGAATTAATAATCGAAATAAGTCCCTTAATCGCCCAAATTTCCAAATAAAATACCAGAGAGCCAGATGCACATAATGTTTCAATTAATGTAAATATCCGGGAGGTGTTGTGTTCTACAAGTCTGATGGTTTGATTGGGGTATTATCATTATCTGTCTTGATAACATCTTCGTTATCTACTCCATTAAGAAGTGAACATTTTAGTTATCACAGAAATGTTATTTCAGGTCATTTTGATGGTCTTTTATGTGATCGATTCTCAACAACATAGCAAAATATCATCCGAGTAAGCTGACGTAAGACTTGTGGAATGATTGTGTATTGATAAGTACGAGGTTCATCCAAATTTTTGGTTCACTGAGACACCTGGTGTAAAAATGATCGCGACAACTACTAGGGTGATTTCGTTTACATTGGTCTTTCTGTATTTTTACCATCAAATCAAACATAAATGCTACTGGCTGACTTTCCTTCACTGCTTCAGTTTCTTGTTGTAGTAAAAATTTGGAGTGTACTGTGAACATATACACCTATATCTCTTGAAAGTACTTGTCATTCAACAAGTCAAATTTAATAAAAAATGTATAGAAGTAGTTTGTCTCAACGATCTTTGTCGGCTATTTTTCAACGTTATCATAATGATGAAGTTACAAGTATAGTAGCTCGCTACATTTTTTAAATACCTGAAAACCATCTGAATACATGTTTAATATGCTAAAAAACAAAAGAATCCTTGAAAAACTGTTATATTAAAAATACTACTGAATATTTTGTAAGTAGTTACGAATGTTTTTTTAGAAGTTCTGTGGTAGGTTGAATTTTGAAAAACGGTTTGTGTGATAATTATGGTAAGATGACTGGTCACTGGTCAAAAAATCGCAGTTTCAACGGTATCAGCTGGGTCGAGAATGAAACAAATGAATATCTCCCACAATATTCTGGGTGTAATCACATCTGTTATATTTGCCGTCTTCCTTAAATGATGCTTTTTTTGTCGTTAGAAAAAAATATTTACTTGACGCTCTACAAATTTCTCTGCTGATTTGTGGCATACATCCATATGAAGATCTAAACCTATAGAGATTTTAACAATAAACTATATTTAGCTAGTTTTTTCTTAACCCGAGAGCCATTCATAAATATATTACTTATCATTCTCACAAAATTGGAAGAAATTAAATTAATTCTTCGAGAGTATGACAACTAAAATATGAAATTCTATTTGGCATCTGACGTCATTCAATATTTCCAAACATATTAAGCATAAGAAATTATAACTGTTTGATTTTAAAGCATGATAATTAAGTGCATCATCCATGACTTGGATTTTTCTTCATGTAACACACTTGATTTCATGAACCATCAGTTAATTAGATAATACTATGAGCACGTTTTCATGAGGCTGGTTGATCAGTCTGCTATAATATAGTCCTTGAAAAATTTCAAACTTTCTCCGTTAGCAATGTATAGGTATCATCATTTTATTAGTTAGTTTACAACTTGTCTAATGTGTCCATCTATTTGATGACACAGGTGACAATGAATGTGATTATTTGAAATAATATACCAGTAATGTCAAGTAGCTATTTGAAACTTCAGAGCTCTCTGAGATATTTCAAATAATGTGACTCCGGGAAATGATGTAATAACTACTAAAATGGATGGGTTTCATCAATAAATACCTGTTTCCTATAATTAATCCGTTCTATTTTTTGTCTTGATTTAGAGTTTAATGTCAGAAATTTCGTTTTATCAATTACCAAAAACATCGATGGTTGAATTGTCAATAATTTATGCAAAACGGTCATCTCATCTTGAATTGTATGTTAGAAAGATAACAAATTTAAGAGTCTATATGAATGAAAGTGAGTCCGATTTGTGTTTCTATCTAACTATCTATCTATCTATCTATCTATCTATCTATCTATCTATCTATCTATCTATCTATCTATCTATCTATCTATCTATCTATCTATCTATCTATCTATCTATCTATCTATCTATCTATCTATCTATCTATCTATCTATCTATCTATCTATCTATCTATCTATCTATCTATCTATCTATCTATCTATCTATCTATCTATCTATCTATCTATCTATCTATCTATCTATCTATCTATCTATCTATCTATCTATCTATCTATCTATCTATCTATCTATCTATCTATCTATCTATCTATCTATCTATCTATCTATCTATCTATCTATCTATCTATCTATCTATCTATCTATCTATCTATCTATCTATCTATCTATCTATCTATCTATCTATCTATCTATCTATCTATCTATCTATCTATCTATCTATCTATCTATCTATCTATCTATCTATCTATCTATCTATCTATCTATCTATCTATCTATCTATCTATCTATCTATCTATCTATCTATCTATCTATCTATCTATCTATCTATCTATCTATCTATCTATCTATCTATCTATCTATCTATCTATCTATCTATCTATCTATCTATCTATCTATCTATCTATCTATCTATCTATCTATCTATCTATCTATCTATCTATCTATCTATCTATCTATCTATCTATCTATCTATCTATCTATCTATCTATCTATCTATCTATCTATCTATCTATCTATCTATCTATCTATCTATCTATCTATCTATCTATCTATCTATCTATCTATCTATCTATCTATCTATCTATCTATCTATCTATCTATCTATCTATCTATCTATCTATCTATCTATCTATCTATCTATCTATCTATCTATCTATCTATCTATCTATCTATCTATCTATCTATCTATCTATCTATCTATCTATCTATCTATCTATCTATCTATCTATCTATCTATCTATCTATCTATCTATCTATCTATCTATCTATCTATGTTTTTATTCCAGTTGTTTTTGGTAAATAATGACGAATCATTCATCAATTTTTTTAATAACATCGTATAACTTGTTCGTCTCGTAAGAAACAAAAGGTGATATTAAATCTGTAATTCTCATAGCATGTTCAGCTGAGACTATAATTCGCGATCAAGATATTGAATATTCTAGATTCATTTATGATCCGTATATAATTAACTATGAACTAAACGCATTGAAAATACCTGTTTTAACAACATTGGTTATTACTTCTTTCGTATTTTGCAGCAGAACTTATTTTTCGTGCCACTTATTGTTTGAACAATATAAATTCGCAATCTGTAACAAGTCAACCAATCAAAATCACCGAATTGGGAAGTTATAAAATTAAAAAAATCAATAAAATAGAAAATGGTTATATTTTAGATCATATCAAAATACCATCTGATGAATATTTAACATTGAATATAGAAATAAATGAGCTGATAAATTATAGTCAAAATATTCAAATCGTGTTCGAAATATTCATTCAAACAAATTTTTCGGGTCAAATACTTTGTTTAACAAGAATTGTATTAAGTTCAGCCAAAGTGAATAATAATTATGATAAAAATCACGAATCAACTTCATTACAATATTCTGATTTAATTAGAGAATTACACAGACTAAAAGAAAATAATTCATTTAGTTCAACACAAAAAATAACATACTGGCATCAGATGAACAGAACATAGAAAACTAACTATAGTAGATTAGATTTCTTATTGTTTGTATTTTCAGTTGTGAAGGATATTCACTCGATAATTATTTCAAATATTTTATTGAATTTAATTAGAGATCAGAAAAATGACAATAATGTTTAGAGTTTTATTATTTTTCACTGTCATATTTAGTTAGTTAGCTTTATTGGTTAACATAAATGGCATTGCAATACAAAATTATTTGGTTGATTTATTCGAAAAAAAGCTTTTGTATTCGTAAATCAGTTAAAGCGAACGATAAAAATTCATGTGCTTTGTTTATAGACAGTTTATTATTTTAGTGACATCATACCAGTGTAAATATGCAGTAGTCAGTTTTGAAGATAAAGAAATTAAAAGTTAGTTATAAGTGATCTAATTATTAAACAGATGATTTCGAACTTGAAATTAGTTAGAGGAATGAAAAGTTTTTGAGGCATAACTTGTTCAATAAGTATGATATTTGTAACATTACAAGTAAGAGTAAGTTATTCTCTTAATGATATTAGAGACCAAATTTTGGTTAGTTTTGGCTGAAATATATTAATCCAATACAAGTTAATCGTTATCTAGATTCAGTTACTCAGTGGATAACACGGACATTTGAAATGAAAGATATTAGGTTCAAGTATCGTTTTGGATATCTGCAACGGTTAGTAAGTACACTCAGATGATGGGTTACAGATAGAACGAAACAGATATCTTGGATCCCACTGCTAGCCACTATCTATCTGGTCCAAATAAATTGTAACAAAATTAATGGTAATGACCATCATTTCTAACTGTAAACTAAAGTCGTTTTTTATCCTGAGGTAAGCTAAAAGTTTATTATTTTCTAAGGAAAGATTAAGGAATAGAGATGAAAGTACCGGACTCTTAAAAGGACTTTGACAAACGTATGTCCACTTTTAACCACTCAGAAAATATGCGATGAGTATTATTAGTTTTTAATAGGAAAAGAATAAAAAACAAGTAGCATTAAAATAATTTAATGAGCTTTCTATATTGATTTATGACATTTTCTAAGGAAAATTAGAGGTTGCACGACGTCCATGAAAAGGAAAGTTGATGTGGATGGTTATCTATATGACACTTTTTCTTTTATCACCCATTCATTAATGACTGTTTCACCAGTCTCCACTTTTCTATCTCTCAGGACCTAATTATGATTTCTATGTATAAGCCCCCACAACATTACTATCATTGAGCTACTATGACTTGATTTATATCGCCGATGTCAGTTGCACAGTTTAATGGGGTTTTTTATGAACTAATTCATAATAAATGCATTATTTATTTGAGTCACTTTCAAATAGGCAGAAAACGTCATCAGCTATAGACATCTTATACCAACATAGGCAGTATAATGACATTTATTTTAACATTCTATTGACATTGTTTGCCCACGATTATTACACAATTGACTTTCCAAAATATTTCCTTCTCATATAAATACATTAATATCAAATTATCATTGCAATTATAAATCACTTAATCGATTATCAGCTTCTTTACTTGATTTATAATCGATAGACTTGAAACTGGATTCTTAAACCTGATTGGTCAGTTTTTATAATTTAAGCAACTGCTAATAACTCCGTGAATCCCGTAATTATTTCTGTTAAACTAAAGAACTATAAATTTTAATTCTTAAACAGTCTACCTTATTAAGTTAGAGTATAGGTTGTGTAATGTTCAGCCACAGTAGACTCAGGAACTGGTGAATATGTGTATTGGTCATAATTGTCACATAAAATTAACAGGATGATTAAGAAACAAACCGATGAAGTAGTAATGTTGACGATGGGAAAAAGGAAGACTAGATAAGAAAAATGTGAGTGAAAAAAGAAAGTGGAAATTTAAAATGAAATTAACAAGTAGTACTGATAGTCAGAATTTCAAAAAGTGAATTGAACTGATGCATTGGAGTAAATTTTGAACTATATCACTTGTGCTTTTCAGTCATTCTGAAATATCGATATATATAAATTTATCAGGTAACAGTTTCACCAGCGAGTGTTTTAGTAATGAAAACTCATGATTACTTACTTACGGCTGTTACTCCTCTTAGAGGAGCATAGGCTGACCACCTGCACTTTCCATCCAACCCTGTCCTGTGAAGTCCTTTCCAATTCTTTCCAGTTGTTCTTCTTCATTCTTTTCATATCTGATTCTATTTCCCGGCGTAATGTGTTCCAACGTCGTTTCCTTATTCCCTCCTCAGCTGGAAGCTGGTTTGTTTTCTCCTACAGAAGACTGTTGCTGATGGTATCCGGTCATCAAGTATTGAGTATCATGCATAGACAACTGTTTACAAATACTTGTGCCTTTTTGATGATAGTTGTAGTAGTTCTCCACATTTCAGGCCCGTACGGTATGACTGTCTTAAGGTTTGTATTGAAGATGCCATAGAGTAATTATACGATTACGACTATTTGTTGTTATACAGTTTCACACGTCCTAGGAAAATTCAATATTGTACTGTATAATCATATTTTAATAATATATTTCAAGAACTATGATGTATAATTTAAGTCAACTAATTGATATATAAATTGAATATATTCAGTAGAATGGTATGGACTCAATAACCGATAATTGTTTTGAAAAGATTTGACACACACACCCACGAGAAGGCATTACGTCAATGCAAACTAATATTATGCTCATCTAATGTGATATCCCCTGGGATATTTTTATTTTCGTTTTTTTCTTCCTTTAAAATCTAAATTGAGCGGTGTAAACACAAAATCATTCAAAATATTGATAGAGTGAATCGTTCGCGCTTTTATATGATTGTCAGTAATAGATTTAAAATTTCATTTCTCTCTGTCATGTTTATTTACTTATTTACTTTCTTTTTGCCTTTTGTTTAAACATAAATTAGCGAAAAGAAGGAGATAAAAATTAATTCCAATCACAAATAAACGAATTTGTTTATCGATCTTTGATTTTTTCAGTGAGTTGTCCTGATTTTAAATTGTCACAAAATTGGATCATATTGATAGTGTAATTATCAAAATGAGTTAGAATCATCCTGCTTTTTTAAGCTTGATTCATTGTAAAACAAATAAAATTTACTTCAAACAACTTCATAATTTTTCATTGACTTTATCTACGAACATGGTTAAGAGTTCAGTATGATTTTACGCATAAATTATCGGTATATATATCAGACACGATAAACCAAGCGCTTGGGGAACTAGTTTAGCAAACAATGTTGTCATACTACGTCAAACTGAGAAAGAAGAGTAGTCGAAATATTAGCGGCATCACTAATGCTGAGAAAAATGTATGCATACTATGGCAAAAGAGGTGAGCAATGCTAATCAATTGTTTGAGGTTTTGGTAAGTTCCAACAACTAGGAAATTTAAGTTGACAGGTTATTAGCTAATGACTTGAAAATGTTAATAATGAGGTTCAGGAACCATAACAGTAATATCCCTTATAATATTTCACTTCCGTCTATAAGACTGTATAAACATTCGTGAAAATATAATAATATCAGTGGTCATCATTTTATTCTCTGTTTCACAATTGTTTACAGTAAAGAATTCTCAGGACAGTACACTTTTTAAATTTAAACTTTACTTTTATAGATTCAAGAGGTAAATTTAAAAATTATTTAACAACTTATATTCATGTTCAATCAAAACGATCTTTTTGGAGTGTTCTGTCTTTTTAAGCTTTTGTTCTGCTAGTAATTTTTGTAATTAGTAAAGTATTGGGGAATCTGTTGTTTCAACAAAAAGATGGTTAAATATTATTATTCATTGTAATATCATTATTTGAGTTTAGTAGTACTCAGCAATGTAGAATGCTGTAAATTTCCGATTAAAATATTCGGATAAATAATTAGGTTCATAACTAATCGATAATAAAAAAGGACTAAAATAATTAATATTTGATAAAGATTATATTTTTTTCATTGTTGATATTTGGGACTCGACTAGATCAGCATCTATTAGCAAATGAACATATAAGAGGATGTTTTGCTACTTTTAATAGCCAAATGTCAATTTTATGTTGGATAATGAGTACCAATGTTATCTAGGACTCGTCCATCATACTCAATTAATCAACATCAAAAACAAGAAGTATGCAAACCCTTACGAATGACGATACATAACACAATTATTGACCACTTTGGTAGCTTTATCAATCGAGCAGCTAAGCTGATAACTAGCTAGGAACAAGGATTAATTTCTTTATCTGACAATCAACAGTAGCATACAAATATATCAAGTTAATGAATCCCAATTCTGTAGAAAAACAGGACGAAATTCGTTGAATGATATCTCATTCCTGATATGGTTAAGCTAAAACAATCTTAGCTTATAGCTAGAAAATAGGTAGTTCTTCTCAATTTTTGATTCTAACGAATAAACAATTTTATCTACCATAGGAGATCTGCTACTGTATAACTAAACTCAGTTTGTGATGTAAATTTCTACTCAGGTTTTTATAATTTTCTTGTTAGCAAAATTTACGTACTCTAAAGTTTCGCTTTGACAAATCTCGGTTTCGTAGGCAAATGATTCAAAGTAAATAGTTCCTCTAGCAGTATATTTATAATTAAGTGCTTCATCACCGTCAGTTAATTCTATCTATGTTGACTTACATCTATCACAGAATATCATTTATTGAGTGGTATCTTAGTGATTAGTTATAAGGTTACTACGAAACGCTACCACTGATCCGCATTCACGGCCAGTTCTTTTTTCACATACAACCTGTCGTTTACAAAGTACTGTCATGTACATAGTTGTGGCTATTACACATATTATGTTCTACATTTTTTCAAAACAATCTTATCTATTGTAAATACGCAATCCAGTAGTTCATGCTCTGAATAAAGTAACATATAAATACATATAAACGCGTAGTGCATTTGTAGACTACACATATCAGTTGCTTATTAACTTTGGTGTTTAGATATCTCTATAGCTTTCACATCATAATCCTAACAACTCCGAAATAATGATACACCAGCTGTACATC